GGGGGGGGGGGGAGGGTGAACAAGGGGTCATCCATCTTGATTGCTAGCTGCCCTTCATAAGGCCTTGCCCATCAGGGGGCAGGGGGGAGGACGGATGAGGGGGCAGCCACAACCTTGATTGCTGACTGCCCTGTGTGCCATCCCACCCTTTGGTGCCGATTGGCAGAGAGGCCCCAGGAGTGGGGGAGGGGGGAGGAGAAGGCAGCAGCCATCTGCTTGTCCGCTGCCCTTCACACTGCCCTGCCAGCTGCCACCTTCCCCTATGGCAACAAGGACCATTGGCGCCCACTGGAAAGCCAGCATTTTATTCTTATTGGTTTTTTGTTGTTGATTTTACAGACTATCCTGGATTTTGTGGTTTCTGTGAAATCTGCGAAACCATGAATTAAGTAGGTCCCTGGCTATCTGGGTGTTGGCTGGGCAGGCTGTAAATGCACCATTCATGATCTCAGTAAAAACAGGTCAGATACCATGAGCCCTCACTCAGTTAAGCTTCCATGACCTTTTTGCTATCTTAACTCTTCTTAACCCAATCAACTGACCACTAAGTGACATTACACTTGCAAAACTGCATAACAGACACTGACTGAGCCTGGAAAAATAAGTCCAATAGGTGAACCTTTGATCTGAGGGTTCATCATGCAAACCACTCACACAAAAAGGCAGAGGTACAGCACCTGGTTATTTTACACCAATATGAACTTTACTCACACTTCGCACTTTCAGGCAACTATTTAACATTCAATGGAGCATTTGAGTCAAAAAACACAAACTGAATATAGACCAATATATCTTTGAATCATCTATTCTTAGTGTTAAAAGTAATTTTTTCCCTTCTCTCTTTCTGCACCATCTTTGATACTAACTTGGCTCAGTTCATCTGCTTCATTTTGTATGGATTTCAGGAATTATCATGAAGCTGCCAGGACAGGGCCCATGTGCTAGACTGAATAACAAGACAGGACTACCTATCACCAATGGAGAAAAGACCTCCAGAAGGCAAGACAACTATGGCAGAAGGTGCAGTGAAACAGAAGTTTGATAGTACTTATTAATAAATATTATAATTACAAAAAATCTGATGATTCAGCTTCAGTCTCACCTGGTTAGATGCTACTTTCCAAGGATCATGGACTACATAAGTAGACTGAGCAAGGTAAACATCTAAATAAACAAAGTGGGGCATGGCAAGAGTGATACATACAACTTAAAATAGCCCTGAAAATATAAGATGCCTCCAGATGAAAACTCTTCTGAAAATAATCCCATAACACCATCTCTTGAATGAGAATTTGGAGAGGAGAATGAACCAAAACAAAACAGTCCTATCATTTGTGTAGTACAGGAGACAGATTGATGGAACGTATTTAGGGTTGACTGAAAAAAATATGGATTTTGAAAATTCTTTAGCAAGAAAAGGAACAAGTTTCTTGGGAACATATCCCCATTTTTAAATCAAGTCTAAATGTAAAGCCCCTCTGTGAAACTGTGAGCTTTGCCAAATGAGATCAGATGCCACTGGAAATCAGTAGCCAGTGCGGTAGCATGCATGCTACCTGCTCTCCCCAGGTTCTTTCACCTACAGTGTACAAGTCTCACTCCCAAACTGCTAGCCTCAATACAAGCAGAATTCAGAAAACTGTAGCCAGAAAGACTAACAGGCAGCTAGGGGGTTAGGATATTTCTAATGTTGCTTCTATATTTTTGAAACAGTAGGAAACACAGCCTTAAGAGCTACCTGTTTTGATGCGGGGTTTGCTGCTGCATGGCAGGAATATGCATTTGAAAGTATGCCTATGGAGACGCAAGATATTCAGAAGACAAAATAAACTTTCCATTTTTTTTTTTTTTTTTAAATCAACCCTTCCTTTTAAGATCAGCATATCCTTCTTTAACAGGTCTCCTGGAGAGGGACATATTTCTCTAGAATACTTTACCGGCAAGAAAGCCTGTTAGTCAGGTTTCCCAAAAGTTCAAAGAAATACCTAGTATCATCCCTGTATTTACTGTCATTTCAAATACAAATGAGATCTATGGAAGCTACTTCACACAGAAAAAAATGACGATGGTCTTTTCTTTATTTTCTGTGATAAAGCAACGCAAGGGAAAAGTACATAAATCATATTGTAGTTCCCTTTTCTTACAAGATAATGACCTTATTTAAGCATTGATTTTATTTATTTATATTATGTCTTGGATCCAAAGTAATGAAAATTTATTTTGTGAGCATTAAATTTAGTTCTGCTACTGTTCAGTAAAGACTGGCATGCCACAAGCTTAGTTTATCATCTTAAATCTCAGTCTCTTTTCCTTACATCAGTTAACATTGTGATTTCTTGAATTCAGTTGATTTATATCAGTGTAAAGGACAACAAGAACATATTCTAAGGACTACTAGAGGATGATTAGCTGCTATATAAAGAAAAGTGAAATTTAGAAAACCCAGTAACACTATTTACTAAAATGTATGCACTGCATGAAGAAGAACTAAATGCAATATTTAAAAAATAACATATTAAATAAAAATAAAACTAATCAACCTATAACATAGATAAAACATGGGGAGGGGGGCAGATAATAAAAACTGTTTATAAAGTTTCACTTGAAAGAAAAAATATCTAACAATCTTACCTTCACATCCTCCTCACATACATGATAAGAATTGTGGTTAGTTCTTGCAGTTTGCAATGAGCGAGTCTGTTTCCTTTACAGGAATTTCCTCTACCTCACTGTCATCATCCCTTTCTATCTTAGCTCAGCAGCAATACGTTCCTCCTAAATTTCCGGTTACTTTTCTTGTAAAAAGATTAGCCCAAAAAGTATAAACCTTCAACAAAAGGTTGCATTTTTGCTAAACAAAATACCACTGGACTGTGTGTTGTTGAAAAACAGGAAAAATAAAGAAAAAATGAAAAAATTTTGCCCAGATATTTGTGGCGATTTTTACTTTGTTCAGTTAAAAAGGTTTAAATATCATATCTTAAATATACATAAGATCAAGCCATTCTGCAATAAAGAATGGTATTAAATAAAATAGATAAGTGTTTTTTTATCCTTATTCTCTTCAAAACAACCAAATCTCACATCTTCTATTTAGTGGCATATGGAAGATACAACACCTTATGGGGGTCCATTCCATTTTCTCCTTAGAGTAAATTATATTGACACCTTTAGGTGTGTAATTTCATTTAGATGCTGGCACTGAACACCAGTCTGGTGGATCTTAGAAACTCTCCATTTTCAGTGTGGTCCAACCATATAGAACAGCACATATATTAAAAACAAGGATTTGGTCCTTCCTTTTATACATGCAGTTTATTCTTTCCGCTGATTGTTTCACTAATTGTTGGATGCATATTTTTTCTCAAGAACTTGCTATCACAAGTAGTGAGATATGGGATTTTCTCTCCAACGTGGTTTCAGGGTTATCAGGTCAGTCAATGGTTGCCCTAGCTTATTTTGCTTTTCACTGGGTGCATCTACGCATGCAATTAGCACATAGCAATAAACTCCAGCGCAGTTTGTGCTGGAGTTTCTCACTAGCACAGTGTTTACATGTGTGCCCAGGACTGCAGCACACTGAACAAGGGGGAGCAGCTCAACGTGCTGCAGAAGGGCTGGCTGGGGCACAAGGGTGTTTCAGTGTGGGCCTAGCTGGCAAGCAGCCCCTACACTGCAGCACTCTCGTGTCCCAGCTAGCCCCTGTCACCATCTACATGTGGAATTTGGGCTGTGTCACTACTTCATTGTAGGATAGTACTTGTCTTGGACAGTACTATCCTACTACTATCCTACAACGGAGTTAATTTACTGTGCCACACTACAGGCACACATGTAGACAGTGACACTTTACTGCAGAGCTGACTAATTACCTCCTCAGTAAAGTGTACGTGTATATGCACTCACTGGCTTTTACTTTATTAGTGCCCACATACAATACACTCTAGTTCTGTAATCTAGGTGGTTTTGTCTAGCTGGATTCAACTCATGTCTTTCTAATTTTATTAAATTAAAAATCAAACTTTTAGAAGTAGGGTTTTCCAATTGCAAAAGTAAATCCTCTTCTAGCACTTTGCTTCACTCCCTCCTTGAGACTTGAATCTGTGGAGGAATCTCAGGACACAAAATGGACAAGAACAAGTGCATTCTGTCCTCAGAGTTCTGCCTGATACTACCACAGATGGCAGACAATAGTTCTCTTCCCCAAATATAGTCCACATATTTTTAATTAATAAGCACAGAATTCTCTGGTGATTTAATTTGCTAAATTAAAACTTATAGGTAGTAGGATTCCAAACTGAAATCTCATATCCTTCAGCGATGCACTCAAGCTATACAAAGCCCTGTAGCTCTGGTTTCCGCAAGCATCTAAGGCTATACAGGGAATTTTTTTCATGGTACTAGTTCAGATGAAGTCAAAGACCAGTTAGCCTGGTTATCATGAGGTTTTGGATCAAGGCAGCCCTAAAGTCAAGTGAGTTCCTAGGACTCATTTAGGCTTACCAATTATGATCAAATGCAAACCTGAGCCTTACCATGAATGTCACTCCTATTTTGTTGCTAGAGGCATAACTAGGAATTGTGGCACCCAGACAAGTGGGGAAGGGCTTCTGAGCACCAGAGAGTGGGGGATGAAGGAGGGGTGGTTGGGGAGATGAGGAGTGACAGATTCTTTCCTCCCCACACATAAGCCAATGCTGCCTCAGGGTGAGATGCTGCTGCTGTGGCTCCTTCTGGCATCCCTTCTAAATCAGTGCCTGGGCCTCATGCCCTGTTTGCCCATCACCAGTTAAGTTACTGCTCATGGTAAAAACAATCTGCATGTGAAAGCAACTGCCTCATCTTATCTCTGCTTCAGATTTTCTTCATCCCTGAAGCAGGTAAGTAGGACAGAAGAAACCAAGTACTCACAGCATTTTTGTTCCCACATTTTGTGAGTCTTATGTGGTGCCTGAGAACAGAAATTGCAGTGCCTGAGGTCAGAAACACTGCTTCATGCCAACTTCAAATCCCCCTGAATAACAGGAACCCCCACCTGCTCTGCCACACATTGGCTCATGAGGCAAATGGGCAAAGAGAAAGGAGTGGAACAGTGTGCTGTTCCAATGAATAGAGTAGCATGCCTACTCATCCTACATTGCCTAGAGCTCCAGGAAGGACTGTACCTCCTAAGTTTGTGATACAACTTGGGATGGATGAAGCTCCACATCACCAGTGCATGCTGTGCTGTGTTACTCAAATGATCTAACATAGAATGAGTTTAAAAAAAAAAAACCCAGCTCCTAATGCTATTTGCTAGTTTGAGTCAGTGTTTCTGATACTGCTTTAACAAGTGTCACCAGAAGAACTTGAGGAGGCTGATAGAAAAGGTCACATCAAGAAGTGTGTGAAGTCAATGAGTGTATAACCAAGAGTGGAATATAGCCCAGTGAACTATACCTCCTTGCTGCTCCTTTGCATGGTAAGAGAAAGTAAGTTATTTGGTACAGATTGTTCTGAATTACTGCAGTAAATTCACCTACCCCAGAATCCGGGGAACATTCAAAATCATCTTTCTAGTATATATCTTAGGCTCTGAGATATAAAGCAAACTGTCCCACCTACGTACCTAGATATATCAATCTATAAATAGTTCATCTGTGGGTAGGCAATAGAGTAAAGCTAATACTTGTGTGTAGCAAGGCCAGGTGCCAGGGGTAACTGTGCTGCCCCCTGGTGGCCAAATGATTACTGCTGTGCTCTGATTCTAGGTACCCTTCCTTCTGTTCTTTCCTGCCATACCTTGATGCATCATTAAATTATAAAAGGAAAGCTGCCTAAGGATCCTAGAAGCCATCCTCATCCTTCCTAGCAGATCCCCTCCCAGACCCCAGTAGCCTGAAGCCAGTCTGTCAGTAGTTGGGCCCCCCCAGCCTGTATGTGCCTCAAGGCACCTGTTGCTTAGAGGCTATTCTCAGTCTCCAATCTCCCCCTACAACTGTGCCCATGCCTCGCAGGTATTATGAATCATCATTTGAGTGGGGCACTTGTCCCCAAAGCCACCAAGCCACCTCAGGCCTTTACTCACTTGTTGGGGCTTCAGCCTTCCCAGCTTCTGCCCCTCTGCTCTAGCTGGTCCTCTAGCCCAGGCCCACTGTCAACGACCCTTCTCTGAGCAACGAGATCCTGTCCCTGGGTCTCCACCCTTCTCTGGGCAGTGGTTATACCCCTCATGGACTTTGGGCACCTGGCCCTGGTTAGTGCCCTAAGCCTGCCCCACGGCAGGGCTCAATGCAGTCACATGCACCTTGGGCAGTAACAGGACTTCCAGGACCCTTATAGTCCCAAACTTGATCTACCAGTCATAACTAACTAAAACAGCAGTACACCCAAGC